AACCCTATATAAGTTGTTACCCACCTAATAAAGTCGGCATTGCTTCACCAGACCTTCCACCGTCTCAGAACCCTTATTCGCAGTGCTGTGACCCTATCCCTTTACCCCAGCGGGTCGCGGCACCCAGGTGCTTGGCTGCCAGCCTGATGTAACCCCATTTACTATAACTCTTTGAGCCTGACCCATCAGTCGTTCACCCAATGTATTATGGACTTATCTAGCTGTGTGCTGGGCATTTTGTCCTGAAGGATACTGTGAGATGCAGTATCAAAAGCTGTGCTGAAATAAAAAAAACCCCCACATCTACTGCCTTCCCTTGGTCAGATGGGTGATCTTGTCATAAAAGAAAAATAACGTAGTTTTTAAAAAAAAAAAAAAAAAAAAAAAGGAAAGTTTTCAGCAGTCCTTCATATAGGAAACTCCAGGAAAATTGCCTGTAGTTCTCATAATCTCTATCATGTTAATTAATGCTTTATTGTATACAGGCAAGCTGTAGAATGAATAGTGCAACAGGTATTTTTCAAAGAAAGTTATAGTAAGAATGTTTGAGGTTTTACCATCTCAGGAGAGCTAAACAAGATTCTTCATATCTGAATATCAGAGAAGACAGGCAAGCTGACAAATGATTGCCCTGATTAAAGCAACAATGCCAGTGTGGTGTGTTGTTTGCACATGGACTGTTTCCTTTGAATAAGCTTTTTCTGACCTTTACAGCAGGTAAGAGCAATGCTTGCTTGAGGACAGCGCACTTCATGTGAGCAATTCAAGGAAGCTGTAAAATTCCATGGATCTGGACCCCAAGGCTTGGAAAATCCTCTGTTGCTCTACTGTTGTTGTGTTACAGGAACGCTCTAACCTCAGCAAGGACACAGGTTTCAGTGACCCCAGGATAAGAGTCTGTGTCTCATGGTGCTCTTTAACCAGTCACACAGAGTGTATGTGGTCACCTTGTCCTCTACCTGTGATGGCAATATCTGCCAAAACACAGAAACACAGCAGAGACAAAGAAGATACCTGTGCAGGTGGGAATCAGCTGGAATGCCTGCCTTTTCACTGCACCTCAGTTTTCTGCTAGATGCTTCAGCCATGGCAATTATCCATGGGATTTCCCAGTTCCTCATTCAGGGACCCAGAATGCATAAAGATTGCTTGTAACCAAATATTCCTTTTCCCCATCAACCTTGTGTCAAACACCAGTAGGAAGCAAGGGACTACTGGTAGATATTTGTTGATACAAACACATTACAGGCAACATATTGATCACCTCTACACATCAGGCTGCGTGCACTGTAATTTTAATACAATTGGCAATGACAGATGTTCATTCTATAAAGCTCCACTGAGAATATTACTAAAAATTCTACTGTCCATTGATTACATATAAAAATAAAATTACATGGTGTATTGTGGTCTATTGTATGCATCCAGAGAGGAACAGTCTTCTCCCTTACACCACTATCCTGCATCAGCATATATGAGCTGAAAGCCTCCACTGCTATGATAAAACTAGACAGAGAAGTGGTTGTGCTGTGCAACATGACTCCCTAATTTACTCTAATTTATTCTGTTTTGGATTGGCTACTCCACGATTGGTATCATGGCATTTGTTTAAGATAAGATAGGAAAAGAAAAAGGGGTTTAAAGAAGCAAGGTCTTTAGCTTTCAAACCCAGCAGAGGTGATAAAAAATTACACCAATCAAGTGAAAAATAGAAGAGGTTTTTGCTACAGCAAATCTTGAAAATCTCATTCATATATGGAAATCTGTATTGATAAGTGTATATAAGTATTATATGAATGATGACTTGCTAAGTACACTTAACTGCTGTCAATATGCACATTTTGTAGATCCCATTAAATACTTGATATCCTCAGCTCCTAATCCAGCAAGTGGAAACTGAGAATTAGTAGAAATTCAAATCTTTTTAAGATCAAGTGTAAAATTTGGCAGTGTTTAATCTTGTCTTGTCTTCCCATTGCTTCCTGAAATGAAAAGTTTAAAGATCTACTTCTTTTTTTTATTCCTTTGACATGGTATTTTAATACTTTGCCACAAACCTAGCTTGCATACCATTTTGATATAGTAGTGTTGAAACATATCTGATGTCCAGCACATAATAATTTCCTGTGTGGTAACTGGAAAGTGCACTGAATTTTCCACAACAGACTTGCTCGAGGCATGGATCATATTTTCCTGTAGTTATGGTGAAGGTACAGCTAAAATTAAATTTTGTACTCTATTTTAAGGTTAAAAAACTCATTAGAAGTAAATCATTAATCCAAAGAAGATCTGATCATTGCTATTAATAGTAAAGTAGATGCCCATATGCCCTATATTTTGACTACTTCTACCTGGTGTAATGCATCCCAAGATACCTGTACAAGCCTGTTCTAAAGTATTTTGCCCATCTGCTTTCACTGCAGGGAATTGTAAGGGTAACAGGAAATACTGGTTACTGGTGTTCTTTATTGGTGTTGAAGCCTGTTGAAACAGACAGGCTTCAACAGTGTCCGCAGTGAGCATTCACAAGTTTGTGTGACCCTATGAAAAGGGTCTGTAGCCCCTCATTAGCACTGCCCAACGTAGCTAGTCTAGCCCTTCTCCTGTGGATTTCAGCTGTTTGTGATCCAAGACCTAGTTCTGATAGCACCAGCTCTGAGAAACTTCTGATAAAATTGCTCCATCATGAGAAAGTACAGTGACATGAGATAAGAAACGCAAAACAGCAGCTGGTAGTTTTGAGATATGGCTAGTTGGCAGTTCAAGGATTCAAAAGGAAAAAACACTGCTATAGAAAGGTGTAAAAACCTAAGAGAGAAAACAGGTGGCTGGAATATGGCAACCCATTTCAGGGACAGCAAGGACTTTTCTCTGCATGGCTGACAGATGGCTGGCCAGCAGAGACTCACAGAAGAAATACAGCTTCAGGAATGTCACCTTCAGAGCTCCCAAAACGGAATGTTCACTTAGGTGTGAAACTGTGAAAATTATCACCTTTTAGCCTTTGGTTATGAAATTCCACACCTGCAGACCTCTAGTTTGTCTTTGCCATGAGCTTTTATTCTTCACTGTCAATATAACTCATATTACTCATAGTGCTAAAATGAGTAATATTATGCAATGTACTGGGGAGCACTTCTATAGCATGGAAATCATCATTCCTAAAACATCTTGACATGAAGATCTGGGAATCTTTAGAGAAGATTTGAGAATCTGAGGAATTAGTTCAGACTTGATCTGTCAAGAAACTGATGAAGAGCCTAAAGTTGTAAAATGGTGAAAGAGAACCTGCAAAACACAGGAATGATAACATCCTCCTGCTAATTAAATTATGAAGGCCTCTAATAATTGGAACAGGTGATGTTCCAATTATGATTATTTTATAGTAATGCTTTGGCAACTATGAGTTTCTGGTAGTATGTTACACAAGTGTATTAAAATGTGATACATAAAGCAACTCCCTTCCTTCCCTAATTCTGTAGCAGAAAGAAAGCAACCAAATGCTACCAGTGAAACACAATTAAACCTCAGAATTCAGTCCCAAAGGAGTTTGACAGAGATGTGAACCACAGGGTACTCTGACCTGATTTTTTGGTCTGACTGTTGCATATACAAACTAAACCTCTCAATCTCACTTGAAGTTGTATCAGTGGAAATTCAAACACTTATCCTTGTCCCAGGATAAGGAATTATGGGGAAAAGGAAAAGAAAAAAAAGACTGAGAATTTGAAGTGCACAGTGATCCAGTAAACTGCAGAGATTAAAGATCTTTCACCAATGAATGAAAATGAAATAAACATTTTATCAATATAAACATTATAGAACTCTGATAGTATATTAGCATATGACAAAATTAATTCCTCGAGCACCTGAAGACATATAAAAGTTAGCTCTATGTGTTGCAATGCTTTGAGTAGTTTCTGTATTCAGTGCAAAGACCCATAGTAAGGAAGATGGCACAAAATCTCGAACTGAAGAGTGCTACATACCTCTTGTGGTGTTGTCAAGAAAGGCTAAAGAGAAACTAGTCTCTTAGTATGGTCAAAGGCTCATTAAGCAGTGAATTACCACTGGGGATGCTACTCTACCTCTGACTTATTTTTTGTTTTTGTTGTTGTTTGTTTGTTTGTTTTTGTTTGTTTGTTTTCAATCTGGCTTGTAGGAGTAGCATATCTTTTGCAATGAAACCGCATCGATGGTGGAATCTCTTCTCCGACCTTCCTGGGCTGCTTGTTATATAACAGTGCCTGGCCGTGCTTTAATGCCTTCTCAGCGGCTCAGTGTTATCAGGGGCTAAATCAAATGAATATTTAACAGGGTCAGGTCCCCGGAAAAATAGTTTCCATCTGGGAAAATCTAAACTGACTGACTGACTGAATGTGTAGTTAGTTAATATTCAGGTACTGATCTATGCTTATTTCTACCAAGTGTCCTATTAGGATGGCTTGATGCAGTATAAGAAATAAACCCAAAACCTGTCGTTTCATAGATTTCTTATGCTTCCTGTTGGTTATTTGTGTGTTTTTTAGGTGTTACTCCTAATGCTTATAAGAAAAAGCTTAGTCCCTTGCCCAGGGCTGCAGCATATTCCACTGAAGTTTAACCTCGAGCTTTCCGCCAGCAGAATCTTTTCAGCTGAGGGTCTGCAGTGCCGCGGGCAGAGGGAGCTGCCGGTCCACCTACACGCACCCATTTACTTCACCTCAAACCTCGGGAAAGAGCCCTAAGGAGCGCCTGTACGGGCTCTTCCCTGCGGGTCCCGCTGTTTGCTGGGTACGCACTAACCTGAGGAGGCTGCTCGACTAAAAGAGGCTGGGGAGAGGGGAGGAGCCCCCGGGAGCCCCCGGTACGGCACGGGGAGACGAGAGCGGACCCTGGCCCGGCAGGCTGCCCGCTGGGGCCGGCTCGTCCCGCTCCGCCGAGCCCCTCAGGACGGACAAGCACCTCCGCCGCGGCCGCGCCCCCGCCCGGGCCCTCAAAAAGGGGACGGGGCGGAGGAGAGGCGCGACTCGCACCGGCTGCCGCGGGGGAGCTGCACCGGGCCCGCACCCACGGCTGCCCGGGGAACTGCCGGGACCCGCACGCACCTCGAACACCGCCGAGGCTCCCGCTGCTCTGTGCAGCTCGGCGGCACCGACTGCACCGGCAGCACCGGCGGCACCGACGGCCGCGGGACACCCGCACTACCCAGCGGTACCGACGGCACCGACAGCCGACGTTCCCCCGCACCGTGACCGCCACCGCCCGCCCGCCGGCACCAGGGCCCAAGGGCACCATGACCCTGCTCAAGCTGTCCCTCATGGCCTTCAGCTTCGTCTTCTGGGCAGCGGGGCTGACCATGCTCATCATCGGCCTCTGGGCCAAGGTGTCTCTGGGCAGCTACCTGGCGCTGTCGGCCAGCGACTATCCCAGCGCCCCCGCCATCCTCTTAGCCACCGGCGCCGCCGTCATCATCTGGGGCTTCCTGGGATGCTTCGGCGCCGCCACGGAGCACCGGGGGCTCCTGCGCGCCTACAGCGCGTTCCTGACGGTCGTGCTGGCGGCCGGGCTGGCGGCCGGGCTCTCCGCGCTACTGTACCGCCAGACCCTGGCGCACGGCTTCCAGGAGGGGCTGCGCCAGGCACTGCTGGCATACGGGGAGGACGAGCGGGTGGCGGACGCCCTGGACGCGCTGCAGCGCGCCTTGTCCTGCTGCGGGGTGCAGAGCTACCGCGACTGGCTCGCCTCGCCCTGGGGGCTGGAGCAGAACGGGTCGGTGCCGCTCAGTTGCTGTCGGGCCCGCCGGGGCTGCCAGCGCAGCCCGCCCGACGCTCGAAGGCTGCACCGCGACGGCTGCTTCGCCAAGGTGTCGGCCTTCATCGACAGCAACATGTCTTATGTTGCCACCGCTGCCCTGGGACTGGCACTGCTGCAGCTCATCGGCATTGTGCTGGCCTGCTTGCTGGCTGCCCGCGTCCCTGCTGGCCTGCTGGGCACCACCACCCCTCGCTGAAGTCCCCCCACTCCTGTCCCTTGTCCTCTCCAGCTCCCTTCTTTCCTCTAGAACTGAGTGCACCCCACTGGGAAAATCCTCCCTTCATATACACCACTTTCACCTGAGCATCCTTCTCCAGGCTCCATTTCTCCTCTGGAGCCCGTGTCAGATGTGTGTCAATGCTACGGGCATCTCCACAGCCCTTCAGAAGGGAAGGTGCTGGGAAGACATCTCCTGGCCTGGCCATGTCCCACTGCTCTCCTGGAGCCTCTGGATTTTTTCTGCAGAGAGCGGTGGCAGCATGGACAGACAGGGCTCTGGGACAGCAGGGGCTCCTGGGGCAAGGCTGACTGGTTTTCTGGGTGATGTAAATACCCAAGACACTGAAATGTGAGGCAGGAAAGAGGAGAGGGTTTGGGAGAGCAAGAGAGGTGTCTCTCAACATTACACTATATGAGTATTCCTTGGAGACTGGAAATGGTGTTACTGGAAAACTGCTAGAGTGCACGAGGGGCAGGTCTGGTCCAGGGGCACCTAGGTAACCATGCCAGAAGCTGACACTGGGAGCTGCTTGAGGGACTGTCCAGCGTCGTGCACCCCATTGCTGCTAAGATTTGCCACCATTGCTGTGAGCGGATTCAAGCTGCCACGGGTGCTTTTCCTGCTGTGGTGTTTCCAATGCTGATCTCGATCTAAAGGTGGAGCTGCAGCTCTGTTACTCCCTCCTTCAGGATGTGCCTATCCTCTTAGCCAGTGCGTCGCCGATTATGTCTTTGCAGTGCTGCAAAGACCTTAAACGCGGGTCCTTGTCATTCAAGAAGATGGCAAAGACTGTAGGATCAGATCTAAGGAGGGATGGCAAGAGAAGGAAAGGGCTCGTTGCCCTTCAGAAGTTTCTTTTGGACTTTTGAAGTGAACTTCAGGGTGAGTGGAACAGACTGTTTTATAGAAGGGTTTCTACAAACAGCCCTCAGACTCTGACATTTTTCCTTTCTCAAAGGATCTGTCTCTGAAGTGTGCCCCCACCTACATTTTTGAAGCCAGATCTGTACAACCTGAGAGTAAATGGAGGACCCCGAAGACTTGCTATCCTGAGTTTGTTCAGATCAGATAGCAGTACAAATCTACAGGATTTTGGTTTTTTTTCACAACAGTTCTGGGTTTGCATTTGGAGTTTGAGAAAAAGCAAGCCCTGTACTTGAGAGGGTCCTGAACTTTCAGAGCTTCACTCCTGCTTCTTCCCGTGTCCTTAAAACCTGTGAACTCGACTTTTACATGTTTCTCTACCTTGCAGCACAAAGACATGGCCCTCTTACCCAGCAAACTGGGGAAGAAGAATTTCAGAAAAGAGCCAGGAACCACAAAGGAACTCCAGGATGTGGCATCTCTCAGGAATGTGACTAGCAAAGCTGTGGAGAATGGTCAAATGCCAACAAATACAAGCAGGGCAAGAAATCTTGAGTGAAAAAGATGACTAATAGCTTCATGGGAGGAATGGTGTAACCTCGGGGGAAAGGGGATTAACATCATCCCTTTTTTCAGATATTAGGTGGCTGTTTAGCCACATTCCAGATAAAGAGTGCAATGCGAACAGCCTTCTCAGTCATTTGGGTATTCATCTGCACAGGTGAACCCTGGAAATTTGTTGAAAATCTCTCTTTATAGAGAAAACAATGCTTCATTTTTAGGGCTGATGTTTATTGTTTATTATTTACATAATGTATTTTTAAATTTTTGTTTGTAAATGTCCCTTTTTTTAAATTATGCATTAGTGGAACCCCTGTTATTTTCTGGAAGTCAACATTATTTTGTACAATTTTAACAATGGACAAAAAGTATAGTTGTTATAGGTACTTGAGAAATGAAGTTTAGCAAATGCTAAGAGCAAAATAAATCACTATTTCAACTCCAATAAAGTATTTACATTTCCATATGTCTCCACATGGTTCAACTAAGTGCAAATGAAATGAAGTGTACATTGAAATGTAAAGACAGTAGAACGTTAGTAGAATGTTGTAGTTTTTGTTTCTGTTTTTTTCCAGAAATCCATTATAGAAGTAATAAAACAGGTGTTGTGGGGAGTATGGGAAAGGGACATGGAGTTGCACTGGGTTTATTAAAAAAGTATTCTTTATTGGAGTCAATAGGCTCTGAAAATTTACAAGAATATGATATTGCTCTTTTTTTACTCCACTGATTACTGAAATTATTTCTGATTTTCACCCTTATTGCTTTGTATGACACGTAGCAGTCAGTCAGAATGAAGTACACTGTTAAAACACATTCAAGCAAAACCCTTGTGTAGATATGCAATTCAGTGAATTTGTTCGGGTTTTAAGTTGCTGAGAATATCAAAATAGGAATGAAACTAAGTTTCAAGCGTACAAGTGTATGTCTGTATGATGGTCCAGTCTGAATCTGAGGACATCAACTTAGTGTAATGAATAATTAAAAATGTAAACCATCGCTCTGCACTCTTGGCCTCACTGAAATAGGATAAACCTTGGCAGCGACAATGTAAATGCTAAGTATACTTATATCATCAAAGATTTCATGGACTGGCTGTGACTGTTAGTTGAATGTTTATTGCCAGTTGAATGTTTATTGCCTAGAATTAACAACATTAACTTTTGTAGATGTGTGAAAGAAGTGTCATTCTTCTCTAATTAATTCCCAAAATAAGAGATTCCCAGTAGCTCTTTGAGTTGTCCTGAATTCTTTGTGCCCAGTGCCCAAATCTTACTTTAATTTTAAAATTTATCTAGATTCAGTATTATTTTGTTCTGGATGGCCAGAATAACTGTAACTGGAAAATGTTAGAGTGGACAGCGCTACCTACTGCTTGCTGGAATATGTATTTGTTTTCTGTCATTCTTTCAAATTTAAATTCTCTCATCAAAATGGCATATTACACTAAAGATGAGTCCATCTTTTAAGAAAAGCTAATATCAATTTTAAAATTGGTGGTTATTCAAATTAGTATAGGAGCAAGCTGTGTTGCAGTTGTAGAAACAATAGCTCTGTTGTTTGGACAAAGTGAGATTTAGGATTAACAAGGGTGGTAAGATTAGACTCTTGTTATGAAACAAGGACTATTTTATAACATTGATCTAGAATGCCAAGAATACAAATCTTTCAGACTTCAAAAGTGGTTGACATTTTGTCCAACGTGAATTATTTACTGTAGCTGAACTCTGTGTTACAGATAATCAGAACTTAAAATGGCCTCTATAACTGATTCTGAATTTTTAGATAAGAGATGGCTTTCCTGGAATTAGAAAACTTAAACAGTAACAGTAAGATTGGGTAGGTCAGAGAAGAAAAAAGGTTACTTTTGTTAAAGTGTAGTTTTCATGTTTATTTATGTATTCATCTTCTTTATCGTTATCTTCTTTCTTCTGGGGAAAATACAATCGTGCTATCATTAAGCAGCTGATATTGTATAAAACCATTGACAAGAATAGTACTCATCTAAGATTTCCACAGATAAATTACAGTAAAGATGCTCTTTTTCTTAAATCCAATAACCTACAGGAGATTTTGATAAATCAGGTGGCATAGGAACTGAGAAGGAAATGCAGTGTTTTCCCAGTTGAATGTTTTAGGTTCCAATAAAAAAGGCATATCCATGGAAAATTTGGGCACCTAAGAAGTCTTACCACAGTCTTGTTCTGAAGCACCACAAAATATTGGTCAGGAACTTAAAATATAAGTCACACAACTAATAGAATTCAATACTTTCTTTTAATCTGAAAAGACTTTTGACCACTGTAGTTAATACTTCATTGCTCATGCACCCATTATGCTCCAAAATGGTAAAAATACATATTTCTTCTCAACTCTATTTGATTCAAACACACAAATTTCACTCTGTTCAATATGCGATTTTAGTTTGCTTTTCTCAGTAGTTGTGCTGGAGTATTATGTCATGTTACTTGGCATAGTGTGCTTGTGTTTCAGTAATCCCAGGTACTGTCATTCTTGCCTAGAAACTTTCAGAAGAGATAGAGGTGGAGATCAAGGTGGATGCAGTAGCACCTTGACTTTCAGTGCAGAGTTCAGCCAAAATAATAATGAAAGTAAAGGACAAATCCAACAGCTAAATATACCTGTCTCATAATTTTGAATAGATCTGCTCACTGAAACTGTTAAAGGAAACACCAGGAGGACTAGGGAGTAAGCAGAATTGGAAATTCATTAATATTGCAAAACTTTCCACTAGTGTGGCATGTTCACTCTTTCTTGTCCATTTTGCCCTTCCGCCTACCTCTGTAACTCCACTTCTTATGCCTGGAGCATAATTATCTGTAACTCTCATCTCAGTTATTAGTGTTCTGCTGCCTTAGGAGTTCCCTTGAACCAACTCCTCTTTCTTTTTCTAGCTTCACATCCCAGGAGTCAAGCAGTCCTTCCAGGTCTGAGCTCCTTGTTGGATATGTTTTTGAAAAGAAGTGTCTTGATCTGCCTGGTTTTAGTAACAGCAGTTTTCTAGCACTAGTAGTCACCTTTATGTTTTTTAATCATATGAAAAATTTGGCAGAAAGGTATAATTAAATAATAATTCCAGAAGTTATTGTTCTAGTAGATATTTGTTTCTTACCAAAGCAACACCCCTTCCTCCCCACCCTGCATATATCATCTTTGTTGTCTTGATGGTATTGTTTGTAGTTGCTGTTGTTTCGTTAGAATGATAATACTCAGGGAAACTTAGGCAGAAGCTAAACTAATTACTTTACAAGGAAATAAGTGGGTTTGGACCAGTTCTAGTGATTACGTTAATAATTTAGTTAATAAAGTTTAGAAGGTACCATTGAGCAAAGTCATCAGAAATTAAATATGTCATCAGATGTTTTCTAGAGAGAGTAGAGGTAGAAAATCAAGCTCCCAGAAAATGAGCCCCGTAGTTTGAAAGCAGAACAGAGATTAATTTTAAGTCTCCTGGTAAAGGCCATTGAGACATACACCTGGTTAATACAGCTGTCACTAACAAGTAGAAATGAAGATGTGAGTGCTGTTTCAAAGCC